ACAGGCCATGGTCACAGCCAGGGTCACAGTCACAGGCCATGGTCACAGTCACACTCACAAGCACAGGCCATGGTCACACTCACAGCCATGGTCACACTCACAGGCACAGGCCATGGTAGCGACCCACGGTCACAGGCCACAAAAAAGCCACGGCAGCCACAATCCACGGCTCCACAGAAAGCCACGGTGCCCTGCCCACGGAGCTGCGTGCCAAGCAGGAGTTCAGGCCTTCCCCACTGTCCTGGGCACATCTGAACCAGCCCGGTGCCCCTGGGGGGCAGAGGGGACCCCCCTGTCCCCTCCTCACTGCCCCTGCCTGGCCCTGGGATCTCCCTCCTGGGACCACCAGCTCTCACTCCCTCCCTGACATCCCAAATAAAGAGCTTCACAGACCCCCTTAGCCGCAATTCCTGATCCCAAGTTAGCTGTCACTATTTTCTTCCAATGAAATCTGGCAGCAACCCAACAGAGGGAAGAAACAAACCTGCTATAATTAATGTTCTTGCTGTTCAAATATTTATATAAAGCAAGATAGAGCCGTATGCCTCTGCAATCTCTTGGATCTGTCCAACCTTCTCAGCTCTGCAGTCAGGAACAACTTTAATTGATCAGGCAGTGCTGCTGATGGCTCAGGCCAGCTCCCCTTCCCAGTGCCCGGCTCCACACAGACCACGCCTGCCTTAGGGAAGCTTACCCTGACCCCACAAAGCAAACAGAAGGGATAAAGGACCATCCTTCTGATGGAAGAAAGTTTTGTGGATGTTTTTTCCCAGGCATGGGTTTGGGTACAAATGGAATGAGGAGCTTCACTGTCTTATAAGTGGCATCAGTTCAGGTAAGTCCTGGGGAGTTGAAGCCTGGACCAGGTACCCTCCTCGCTCTTCCCCAGGGCTGAAATCATTCAAAACTGAGATGCTGCAAGAAGTTACAAGAGATTTTGAAGTCTGTGACCAACTCCCCTGGTTCCAATTTAATCACTTCTGTTAAAACAGTGATGAATTCCCAATCTCTTGATGACTCCAGAGCTCCTGCCAGTTCACACTAATTTCAGCTCATTTCCCTTATAATTTTGTCTCCTGTTTTAGCTGCAGAGGTCGGAATGGCTCTCAGCCCTTCAGGTGAGCTGCCAAAACAAGATGATGCAATGCCTGCACTGCTCCCAGAGCAGCTCATTTACTGATGAGCTCCTGGGAAGCGACTTAACAACAGGATGTGCAACACATCCTTAAAAATTGCATCAGCTGCGACGCCAAAGGAGTTTTTGCCTGTGCTGTGAGCTTTGCCTGGGCTGTCTGTGATCGATCTGCCATATGAATTCATGTCTGCTGAAGAACCTGAGAACTCACCATCATCCAACTCCATTATGACAGCGTTTCGTTATTTTTATTACTGGCTGCTAAAACGATCGATGTCTCATGAAAGATGTTTCCTTCCTGCATTGATTCCACCTTGACCACGTTGCTGCTGCTCATCCTTTCCAGCCTGAGCTGTGGGAGCACTGCTGGCCTCTGTCCCAGCACCTGTGGGGCTGCTCGTGGAGCTCCAGCCTCTGGCCAGATGTTGCCCCAAGTTCCACTCATACAATTCCAACACTGAGGCTCCTCAGTCCAAATTTTGACTGTTTTGGCCAACATCCCAAAGGTGAAGTGAGTGAATCTTCAGCATTGTTGTGACGCTTGTCAGATATCAGCAATCCCATGGAAACTCCTGTTATCCAGGGATCGCTCTGGCACAAACCAAACCAAACCCCACCCACAGAGCACTAAGTGCTTCCACAACTGACTGTATAGATCTGATGTCATGGGCAGTTCAATAACTCCAGCAGCATCAGTGGATGGGCATTACAGAGGTGTCAGATGCTGTTTGGTTGCCTGGATGTAACAAAAGCCTTTTAGTTTCAATTTACTGATGGGGAAAATGGAAGCAGAGGAATTTCCCAGGGCAGCAGCGAGCCAGAGCTGGGCACAGAGAGCAGCTGCCCTGAACTTGTGTCCTTCAGGCCACAAGACAAACATTTCCTGACAGCCAACAAACAACGGGGACAGGGGAGGGAAGGCACAGAATGGAATGATTTTATTTCCAGAATCCCTCCTTTTCCACAGAAACACAGACCCTGGCAAAGCTGCCACCAATGCAGGCACTCCCCACACCAGCTGCCTCCTGCAGGAGCCACGTGCTGGGAGCACTGAGGAGTCCCCAGAGTTAAGAAGGACACAAAGCCCAGGACAGAAAGGCCACCTTTCCTTGAGGGATGAGGGCACCCTGCAGCAGTGTGCCAGGCTGGTCTAAAGAGAGAAGCAAGAGTGTTCATGCTGGTGCTGGGACACTCCCATTGCTCCCAGCCCAAGGAATTGTGTAAATGGGAGGAGGATGCATCCATCACTGCATGGGATCCCTGGCAGCCTGTCAAGCTGAGAAGCAAAGAGGAAAAAAACAATGGATATGTTTTTATTTCCTTATGTTCTACCAGTGACTTACAACTGACTTATTCGTTGTGCAACTCCAGGGCTCCCTCCCTCCCTCCTCCTCCTGTCCTTGTCCTGCACACACTGCACTGTCTGTGGCTCCCTCATGCCCAGGTGGCCAGGCCACCTCCTCAGGGACACTCCAAGAGGCAGAAGGGACTCGTGACTCCTGGTCACACACAGATTCTGCCAAGCAGCTCGCCGAGCCCCTGATCTCATCTGATCCAAGTGTACATCCCAATTCTTCCACAGTGACCCATTTCTCCATTTCTGAGGATATCTAATCTCACAGGAAGCTGGCTGGACTGAAATGCAACATACTCCTTCAGCTTCTGCAACAACCACAGGGAAGAGCAGAGCTGTCTGTGCAGCAACTCCCCAGCGCAGAGGAAACAACCAGAAACAGTCGTTCCTCCTGGCAGAGAGGAGGTGGGGACTGGGAGGTGGGGAGGGAAGAGAGCTCAAACAATCTGCCAGCAGCACAAACTTTGTTCCCGCTCCAATTCTGGCTCAGAAGGGAAGCAGTCAGCAGAAAAACCCAAACCAAAACAAACCCTTAAGAAACAAGGAAGCTGTTCTCATGTTTGTAGTGACTTCTAAAACAGCATCTCCTGTCCCCCAAAATGCTGAGATGAAAGCAGGAAATATGAGAAACTTTTTGACCAGACTTTTGCAAAGGATTCTATGCAAAATCTCCCACTCAACAGCTTGTAAGATCCTGCAGATTCCATGGAAGGCGGCTCAATGGGGAAGAACAAATTGGCACAAAAACCACACACACTGGACAAAATCCTTTCAAGTCAAAAGTCCCAAACAACAAAAGCTCTGTTTTATTAATCTGCTGCCAATTATGAGTGTCACGTGCACTGTGTGAAGCTTCAGACTGGCACCACAGGAGTTAAAAAAGAAGAAAAAAAAGCGAAACCAAGCAGGCCCCTGAGCTGTGTGTGCAGAGCTGGCTCTGCCTGGCTGGAGCTGTCTGGGCTCCAGCAGCAGTGAGGAAAAGCCGGCAGAGGGCAGGGAAATGCCACAGGAATTCACAGACAAGGCACAGAAGATGCAACAAACCATATTTCCTTCCTTTCCTGACACTATTTGCAGCTCAGAGCAGAAGTGTTGCAGCACAGTTAAACCACAACACTCCTGACTCACTGGACGCTGCCTGGGACCCTCCTGCACCAGCTCCTCGTGGGAGCAATCCAAGCCCACAGCATTCCTGGGACAGCACGTGGGCTGTGGCCCAGCCAGCACTGGGGTTTCCCCAGGATGAGCTCAGCCTCCTGGTTTTCAGCAGCCACGATGTTATTCTGAACATGCTCTTCCCACTTCCAAACACTACAGTGAGGTAATAACACCTTCTAGAGCCCTGAGCTTCACAATGCCTCTGTGAGGACAGAAGATGCCAGGACAGGCTCCTTTCACTCGTGTTTCTCTCACCCACTGATCTGGCAAAGGCTGGACTTTATTACTTGGGATGGGATGGAATGGGATGGGATGGGATGGGATGGGATGGGATGGGATGGATGGGATGGATGGGACAGCCACCACTCACCCCACTGCACAGGTGCTGCAGAGCTAAAGCCCAGCAAATCCCAGGCACATCCTGAGTGCAAAGCCGATACAAAGTCTGACATCACCTCACAGAAGGGTTTAAAATATCCAGAGAGAATTGAATCCATTAGGGTATTTCCTCACAAACCTCGTTCTTACTGGCATTCTCTGGGCTTGAGATTAGCCCTTAAATAGAGGCAAAATCTGTCAGTGCAGTCTGTGCATTGCTGACAGGCACAAAGGAGAACTCCTTTCTCCTCATTTCAGGTGTAGTTTCAAAGTTGAGCTGTAGTCTAAAAATCAGCCCCATGGTGCTTCAGGTAGGCAGTACATCCATCCTCCCTGAGATGGAAACAAGTAACACACCAACAGGGCAGGGCCCAGAAGGTCAGAACCACAGGGTATGGAACCAGGGAGCTGTACAGGTGTGCTCCTGCTCGGTATTCCCTTGCCAAGGTGCCCTACTTCCCCGTGTGGAGTTCACTGCAGGTGACACTGAGAAGCACTGACTGAACCACCCAGGTTAGACATGCAAGAATGAATATTTATCCGTGTGAAGTGGGACCACGTTGTGAAAAGCAGCAAAACAAGCTCCCACACGCAGGTTTCGTGTCAGCACAGGGCCCGGAGAGGTGCCCATGGCTCAGGAAGTCAGCCAGGCCCTTTGATGTGGCTCTGCACGAGAAGCAGCAAGCTCAGATCCTCAGCAGAGCCAATTAGGCCAACAAAGGACCCGTTTAATTTAGCAACGCTGCTTCCAGGGCTCAAGACAGTTCACCTGAAAGAATATACACAGACCTGGATGTTTGGGGTCAGGATTCAGTGAGCAGAAGCAGAACTGGCTGACAGTTTCCTGTAAATTCCATAGGAGTCTGAAGCAAGACAGGACATTGAGCTCAATTCCACCGTGAAGTTTCTCAACTTCCTTCAGCATGTCCAGGCTCAGCACCCAGCACCCAGAAACCAGAGAAAGGATGCACTCACCTGCTTTCACTGTCCAGGAACACCGAGCTGCTGCTTTTCCCCAGGGCTTCACTGATGGGAGAGAGGCAGAAGGGGGAAGAGAAGGCATCAGAATCAGAGTCAAAAGTGCTGTCCCTGCTCACATCATCAGCAGACAGCTCCAAGGAGCCCTCGTCCTCCCTGCAGTCCAGGCCCTCCTCCGTGCCCTCCGACCTGTTGTGCTCCTCCTGGGAGCTGACTGTGGACAGGGTCCCCGAGTCGCTGCGGGGCGGCTGCGGGGACGGGCGGGCGCCGCTCTGCGACAGCTTCTCCCCATCCCTCGCGAGCTGTGACACCGCCAGCACCTCGTCCCCCCGCAGGGTCAGAGCCCCCCTGTGCTCCGGGGGGGACGGGGGCCGGGCTGTGGCCGAGCCCTGGCCGTGGCGGCCGCGCTTTCGGGGCGCTTTGCGCACGGGGGAGCTCTCGGGGGTGATGTAGCGCAGCGCTTCCTCATCCTGCCGCTGGATGCGCGAGTTGGGCACCCAGGCCAGGATCAGCGTGGTGCCCAGCAGCTCGTCCTTCTCCATGTACAAGCACAGGTAGCCTGAGAGAGAGCACAGCAGCACCAGGTGTGACACGCAGCTCTAAGGGAACTGCATAACCCTGACATTTCCCTTTCCTCCCATCTCTCCATCCCCGGAAATGTTCAAGGCCAAGCTGGATGGGGCTCTGAGCAACCTGGTTTGGTGAATGTTGCTCCTGCCCATGGCAGGGAGGATCTTTAGAGTCTTCCTTTTACCCTTCCAGGAGATGATCTTTAAAGGTTTCTCCTAACCCAAACCATTCCGTGATTTCTCCTGCTTCATTACCACTACACGTGGGCAAAACAAACCCTTTCATTTACCAGGACAGAATTGTGGAGTTGCTCAGCATTATTCAATATTTGCAAATCATTTCAAGTCTGCATGTGGCCTTTGAACAGCCTGAATTCCTCTGGCCTAACTGAACAGAGAAATGACATGCAAATACTTGGACTTCCTGGACAGATTTACTAATCAAGAGTAAATTATAAAATATGTTCCCACATGAAAAAGTTCTACTGTTTCTTAGTTAAACAGTTTCAAGTGCCAGGTGAACATGGATTTCTCAAGAATATTTACCTTAGTGTAGCTAAAGGGTTACAGTTTTTATGGGAAGCCAATGGAAAAAGAAGTCACCCACACCAAAAGGAAAGCAAGGATCAGTGTTTAGAGAATAATTCATTTTGTGAAGCTAAGCCAAGAGCCACAGGTCTTTGATGAGAACATGAAAGAACACAGGAACAGATGAGAATAAAAGGACAGAGTAGGATTTATTCTCATTTACTCCAGTGCAAGTAGCCACCTTCAGGCTTTTTGGATTTTTCCTTTTGCTGAGGCCACTCCAGCAGTGACAGCTACAAGAGGATATTTGGATTTCCTGAACAATCCCTGCACATGAACGAGCAACAGAAGTTACTGTCCTCACATGACAGCTTCTGACTGCACAAAAGGACTTACAAAATCAGGTAAATCCATGCTGGACCAGAAGAGAAAGAAAGGAGTAATACCACTAATCTTCCTACTAAAAAGAGAGCTGATGGATCAGCTTGTGGATGGCTTCCCTGAGTCTTCCACAAAACTGCCTTGCCCTGTCCCCACTGGCACTTCTTCATTTCTTAGAGCTCAAGATGTGGAACTTGATAGAAGCAACACCCAGGAGAGAGCAAAAGAGAGAATGGGCAGTGTCTGCAACACCCCCTCACCTGGGTGGTGCTCCCCAATGCCCTGCAGCAGCTCAGGAGGGTGCACACAGACATTGTTCTTGGAGTAGATGATCTCCCCATCGAGCACAGAGGAGGAACCACCACCACCACTGGGACTCAGGGTCAGGAGGTCGGACGCTTTGGAAGAGGCTCGACGGAGGAGTCGCCCCAGAGACATCGCCAGGAAAATGTTTCCATCATCTGTCAGCTCTAGTCAGGAGCCAAATTCAGAAGATCTGCCAAGAAGGAGGAAAAAAAATAGTGTGAGAACCAAAATAACGAGAGCACAGCACGTGCCACCCACTGTCTGGGGACAAGACTCCCATCAGTCCACACCTCAAGGGAGAGCCCAGAAATGCTGTGCATCTGTAACATCACCCCCATGCTCCAAAGGTGCTCATGCACAGAATCCCAGGACATTTTTCTCTGCAGTGAAGAAACATGAAGGCAGCAAAGCCCCCCACGTTAACTGTGGAGAGGAGACAGAACAGCAACGCTGGGCACTGAAATCCCCCCAGAGGGAGCAGCTCAGTGTGTGGACCTGCCTGGTGTGTCACTGACCTGGGGACGCCACAGAGCCACAGCTCATCCAGAGGTTCCTTCAGCACAAAAATGACTGACACCACAGCACTGCACATGGGGCTGCTGCTCCAGCCACAGCACCTCCAAAAACAACATCAATCAAACCCACTTCATCTCGTACTTGCCATTTCTGTGTGTTTGAGGTTTTCGGGGTTGGGATTTTTTCTTTGAGGTTGTTTTTGGCTTTAGTTTGGGTTCTTTTGAGCAGTGATGGTTAAATAGAGCCATGCCAGAGATAAGGCTCAAAAGCCCCGTGTTCACCAGGGAAGGCAGAGCCTGGACACAGAGCATGGCACACCAACTCAAGGCAAACACTTCACCCATGCAGAGCTTCACAGAACTGTGGAGTACAACCTCCAGCTCACCCCTAAATAATCTCTGTGCTCAAATGAGATGTGCTGCTGGCTGGGGCTGATGATGAGGAGCTCTGCAGTGGACACAGAGGGATCACCCATGCTATAAAGCATTCAGCAGATGGACCAGGACGTGCTGGAAGAGCAGGAGGGTCTCACACAAAGCAACCCCAGTGCAGAGCAGGCTCCCTGCAGCCATCCCCAGCTGGGAAGCACCGGAACCACGGCAGTTTCTGTTCTGCCAAAAACACAGCAGAAGAGGAAACTCCTACTTTTGTTCCTTTGTGTTTCCATGGCCCAGCTTGCTGTGACCAGGCCAGTGTGACCCAGCACACCCCACACACAGCCGTGCTCCCAGGCCTGGGGAGGGCTCAGCCCCACTGGGGACCAGTGCCACATTGGGCTGCAGGGCATTGCCACAAGAGCCAGAGAGGAAAATAAAACAGACAGGCCCTGGCCTGGGGCATCTTCTGAGGAAACACCTAAAGGCCTAAGCAAACACTGTCTAATGTTGAACAGCTCTGATTTCCTTCATCTGGTTTGGATGGCAAATCCAGCCAGCCCAGGAGGGCAGAAATGGCAAAGGGGCATTTCCCAAAGGGCAGTGAGGGCTGCAGGGAAGGAAAATAGCTGTCCTGCCTCTGACATATTGGTACATGCACAGGACTGCAAATGAGACTGCCAAGCTGTTGACAGAGCCTTCATTAAAGGACAAACTATTGGCTTAAGTGGCAATCGCCACATTTGTCAGCTCGAATCACAGCAGAGGCACTTTCTGCATTCCAGCCTTTGCTGGGACTTGATGGAGAAGCCTCAACCCTGCTCTGTACCAGCAAGTGTTCAAAGTCCTGCACACTCCTGTCTCCTTCTAGCACCAGACACATGGATCCTCATGTCTCAGCCCCAAAAAACAAACACCGGTCGAGCTCTAAGCTCATTCTTGTCCACATTGCCAAAATCCACAGTTTCTGGGTCACACCTGGCAGAAAGCCATTTGCCTCAATCACATTTAAGGAGCAAATCACCTTTCCTCTCATTGCACCCTGCAAGAACAGACAGTAAATTCTGGTGCAACTTCTCCTTCCCCACACCGAGTTACAACATGCTGTTTCCAAACAGGGCCAGGGGAGTCAGGGGCAGTGATGTGGAGCCACCTGGCCAGAGACCTGGGCCCCCAGCACACCTGGGCAGGGTCACCTGTCAGCACAACACTGGCTACAGCAGCACAGACCTTCCTCCGTGTCAGCGACTTCCTCAGAACCCCCAAAATCAGCGGGTGGACAGGAGGGAGGAGGCACCAGCTGGCTGTGCTGCTTCCTCAGGAAACACAGGGACAGGAGCTGGAGAGGCACAGGACAAACAAGAGGTTGTGTGATGTCCTGCTGAGCTCTCTGGAAGGCAGGGGAGGGTCAGGATGGCTCTGCCAACACAGGCACCACGTAATGAACTTTCACCAGGCACAGAAAGAACAAAGTGACAGCTAAAGATCAAAAGCTGCTCCCTGGAAAGGCAGAGGAATTTAAAGGGAAAGTTTGCTTTGATCCTGCAGAACACCTGTTGTTCAGCACTGCCTGCATGGGCAGGTGGACAGAGCTGCAGGTACACACAGGGCTGGGAAGAGGAAACCAGAAAAAAGACAAAAGGTTTGGAATAAGAAATTCAGACTGTTGGACTTGTCTTGCAGAAGAGCTGCACATCAGAAATCAGAGACCACTGCAGTGCTGCAGACAGCAGCCAGACACACTGGGATATATAAATATCACCAGGAAACTCAATCCTTTCACTGTTCTCACAGGCCAGGGAATTCTTTGTAGCTTTGCTTGCAGGATTAATGAAAAACAGATGCAAGTCACAGGACAGATTCGGGGAGGGTGACAAGAGTTATCTGGGCCAGGGAAAGAGATTGCCAAGGGAAGACAGAAGTGAGGGAAATGTATTAAAATCTTCACACATGGGAACTGTCACGGCCAAAGGAAGGAAGAGTTGTCGGTGAAGGACAAAAGTTGTAAGGCAGTTAACTGTGGCAAGGAATACCTAATTTTGTCATTCCAGTAGCTGGGACAATGGTGCAGCACAACAGGGAACCTCAAGGGGCCATTTACATGGCTGGGGTTTCAAAGGCCACAGAAATAAACACCCAGTCAGCCCCAGTGGGGACCAGATGCTGGACTGCACCTCTGAAGGTCATCTGGTCTACTGATACAACCCCAAAAGTCCCTGAAATTCAGCTTGGGAAAGTGCTCCTCCTCCCTAAAAGACAGGAGTTCATACAACACGAAGCAGCAAATAACAGGGACCAAATCTGCAGGGTTTGCTCTATTCTCAGCCCTTTTCCATGTGGGACAACATCTGCACACACAATCCGTGGGGCTGGGGTCATGGGGAGAGGCAGGAACTGCCTCGGGAAAGCAGCAGGAACCATCCCACAGCTCAGGCAGCAGTAAATCAGCACCATTCAAAAAAACCCATTTTTCTTATTAATTTCATATTTATCTGCTGATCAGAAGGGATTCTTCTCAGTGTGGCAGAGCCAGCTCAGCTCTCCAGAAGCTGAAGCACTGCGTTAGCTGATAAGCTCTTGCTGAGTGCCAATATTTATTAAGCACACACACATTTTCTTCTCCCACACATCAACTGTTTCCACTAAAAATCTTCGCTCCAGCTCCTGTGTCTGTTCACACAGCCCTGGCTGCTCTCCCAGTCGGTGCCAGCACTTCTCAGCTTCATGAGTGAGAAAGTGCTGGGGAGCCAATTCCTGCAATCTCCCACAGAGCCAGTCCAGTTGCAGCCAGCAGCATCCAGACTGGCACTGGCTGCTCTCTCCTGCAGTGCTGCCCTTCCCTGCTCAGGAGCCATCCACAGGATCCTGTTTGCCTTGGCACACTGCACCTCACCTGGCACCTGCTGCTGCAGCCTCTGATGGCTGGAGATTCCTTCCTGTATCCCGGCCTGGGGGGATGTACTCTGGCACAGCTGGCACATCTGTGGGTCTGGGGGCACCGGGGGCAGCCCAGCCCCGAGCAGAGCCGGCAGCTCTCAGAGCTGAGCCCTCCCGTGCTCCTGCTCCCAGGGCACATTCACTGTGTGACACTTCCAGAGCTTTACAAGTCACATAAGCTGAGCTGCAGGGCTCTGTTAGTGAAATGTGAGACCTGCAGCGTGTCTGGGCACGGTGGAGAAACAGGAGCTGTCAAACAGCAGCACCACAGTTAAGCATGAAATATCTTAGGGAAGAAAAACGCAACAGGCTCGTTTTCTCTTTTGCCCTTAATAACTGGAATTTAATTTTACATATTTAAGGAGTGCACAGTTGCTGTGGTGGTGGGGCTCAGACACTGCACGGATTGCTGCCCCTTTCCCCTCCTGGGAACAGCAAATGCCGGGTTTGGAACTCTCAAGCACAGAACCACTGGAGTTCAGCAGCCTGGAGTCAGCACTCAGCTGCCTCCCAGTCCCCCGGAGGATCTGCTGTGCCACTCTCAGCTGGCCACTCACTTGATCTCTACTCCTCTACAAGCACATGAGAGCCCCTGTACCACCTTCCCTTTGTGTTACAATACCTCGACATTGGGAATCAAAAGAGAAAAGCTTTCCAAACTCCTCGCTACGCTGGAGCCAGTTGAAGATCCAGCCAAATCAAGGAGAAGCTTTTACCACGGGGAGCCACTCTGAAGTCATCCCATCTCATGGGGAGAATTATGTAGGTCACCAAAAAGTCTTTCATTGCTGCCCTGCTGGAGCAGCAGCTGCTCATGCAGTAAGAGCAAAGGGAAGGGAACAGCCAAAATCTCCACAGCTCCAAATGCAGTCGCTACAGCGGGACCATCTCAGCTGAGCAGGTAAAAAAGGTAAAAAAGGGCCAGCAGCCTGAATCCTGCAAGGCTGTGACTCAAGAGATGAAAAGGGAAAGGGAATGCCATGTCAGGGCTGGCTGCTCTCAGCCACACCTGCTCAGGCATCAGAAAGCAAACAAAAAGCAAACAAAATGCAAACAAAACTCACCCATCCCCAGCACCAAACTGACGGAGAGCACACGCTGTCACTGAGACACTGTGTGTGCCACACGTCCCTCCGTCCCTGATTTCCCAGCTTTTCATGTCACTGATCTGCACTGCTCGGGCCACAGGAAATGCTTTTATGACTTTTTATTTCCAACATCCTGTTGCTGTGTCCTGATAACACTCTCAGGACTCGATCCTCAAAAACCAGCAGCTCAAACCCCAGGAGTCTGGATCACAGCTCAGGGGATGAGCAAACTCTGCTCTCAGTATGACAGAGATCAGACCACACATCATCCCTGCCACTCGCACACCCTGGACTTTCATTTTTCTTCCTATTCCGAGTAGCAACTAAGAACAAAACACCTCTGCAAGAGAAGCTCCCAGCCGGAGATCCGAAAAGGAGATGTCCCAGAGGAGGCAGCCGAGTTATTTTACAGAGTGTCAGCACCCCACAAGCCCTGCCTGCAGCATCCCGAGGCTGCTCATCAAACCACTGCCCACGATCCTCCATCCACCTTCTCCACAGGTAACAGGGCTCAGGTGGATGCTGGGGTCACCTGGGAGAAGACCGGGTCCCCAAAAGGAAGGAAAACAGTGCACGGAGCCGCACCGAAATAACAGAACAGAAAGTTTAAGAACTATTTGAATTTCCATCCCCCGGCGGCATCCTGACCTCTGGGTACCATCCCGACCCCCGGTACCCTCCCGATCCACGGTACCATCCCGACCCCCGGTACCCTCCCGATCCTCGGTACCATCCCGGTCTCCCGGGTACCATCCCGACCCCCGGTACCCTCCCGATCCTCGGTACCATCACGTTCTCCCGAATACCATTCCGAACCCCGGTACCATCCCGATCCTCGGTACCATCCCGTTCTCCCGGAGCTCCCGCCCGCTCCTGCCGCCCTCCGCGGGGCTCTAGCTTGGGAAGGGCGGACAAAGAGCGGGATCAAACCCGGACCTGCCCAGGTACCGGCAGGATCCCGGTGCCGGCTCCGGGGGTCCCGAGGGTCCCGGGGCAGCGATACAGGATCACTCGGCCCCCCACCCCCTGTCGCCCCCGGCCCGGCCCGGCCCCGCTTTACCGGCACAGACGAGCCTGGGGAAGCTCCCGGCGCTGCCCGGCCCGGGGCGGGCTCGGAGCCGCCGCCGCCGCCGCTCCCGGCCCTGCGCGGAGCCGCTGCCGCCGCCCGTGCGCTCCTCCCTGCCCGAGGGGCTGTGCCCGGCCGGCGGCCCCGCCCGTCCGCCCGGCCTGGGGCTGCCCAGCCAGGGGAGAGCGCAGCGGGACCCGCCCGGTGCCGGTGCCGGTACCGGGGTGCGCGGGCGGAACCGGGGCTGGCGGGGGACGGAGAGCGGCCCGAGCCCCCCCCCGCGAGCCGGGAATGGTGCGGGCTGAGCCCCCCGCCCCCCCCCGCGGACCGCGGTGGTGCGGCCCGGGCGGTCACGTGAGCGGGTGTTGATGCGTTGCCTGGCAACGGGAACATGGCGGAGCCGCTGCGGGTGAGTCCGGACCGGGCTCCTACGGCCCGAACTGTGCCGGGGCCGTGCCGTGCCGTGCCGGGGCCGTGCCGTGCCGGGGCCGTGCCGTGCCGTGCCGTGCCGTGCCGTGCCGTCCCGGTTCCGTCCCGGTTCCGTCCCGGTTCCGTCCCCTCCACCACGTCCCGCTACCTCCCGGTACCTCCCGGCTCCCCGGTGGGTGCCCCGTGCCCAGTCCCGCTCCTCACCCTCTTTAAAAAGAAAGCGAGAAAGAAGAAAGAGAATAATTTGGCTACGTGTCATGCTAGCTGGAAGAATTTCTTTAATAAGTCTGTAATGGCATTTTTTAAATAGATGCCAGCTAGAAGCACGAGAAACTGTAAGTGGTGTGATGCAGTTTTGTCAGGATCTTTATGATCTCAGTTCTTGCTAGGTGACTATTTTTTGCAAATGAGATTAAACTTCTAAATTAAACTTCTGTGCCCTGTGGCAAAAAAATACCACAGCATTAAAATTCAATGCAAATGGCAACATGCTACTCTGCTTTTCACCTGTTCTGTGTGCCAGGCCACGGGAGAATGGGAATGCCAATGGGGAGTCTGCTCCTCTGGGGGAGCAAACAGAGTCATTGTCCCTGCAGAGCTGTTCTGGGCTCTGCAGAAGTGGGACACTGTAATTATATTTGTCTCCGTGCTGGCTCTAGAGCCAGGCCTTTGTGTTGATCCTTTGTTTGCATTGTTCATGGCAAAAATGAGGAAAAATGTTTAGGGGTAAATAGATGGAAAAGGTGATATATTTTTCAGGAAAATTCACCTGATACTTTCCCAGATAATCCAGAATGTGACAAACGTTTGTCCTCCTGAACAGGGTGACATGGAGCAGCCACTTCGAGGTGGAGGAGTCCCTCCCTTTCCCTCGGGAGCACCTGCAGCAGAGCAGGACACAGGCACAAAGCCAGGTATCCCCCAGTCTCTCAAGCTCTGGTTTTCTCCCTTTCTGGTCATTGCTAATCCAGCCAGGGCACAATGCTATGAAATCTAATCCTATTGCTTTATCTTTTTCCTTTTTTGTGGTGGGGTGGGCTCCAGGGAGCAAAGGGCAACCAGGTTCTCACCATGCAGGACTGACCTTTGAGCTCCCCAGTGATCATGGCAACCAAAGAGGGGAACAGCCAGCTGAGAAACATGAGAGAAGAAAAATTAGGGGGAAAAAAGCAGAAGAAACAGAACTAGTCATCTTGGACCCAGAACATGTGAGAAGTCTTCAAATCTTGCTGTTCTTTGCAGAGTTGGTGTTTGTGTTTCTCTGAAACGTGTGAGGTGAGCTGTAAGCAGTGGCTGTTCAGCTGCACGTGTGAAAATCAGTTTTGCCAGTGTTGACTGCTGACTGTGCCACTCAGTCCTGACCCCAGAGCTGCAGGCTCAGAAGTGAGCAATGCAGTGGGTAAATCTGATCCCTTCAGTGGCCCTGAAAGAGAAGTCCTTGAGTGAGTGGATGGTTCTCAGATGTAGCTCTTCTGGCATGGTTCTGATTTTCAAATATTCTCACTTTTTGGCATCAGCAAATACCCACTCTGTAACATCTCTCACTTGCTACAGTGAGAGTAGCTAAAATAACCCCACAACTGTCTGTGACAGAAATAGGATGTTTTATTGGGTGGGGGATGTAGCAGTGAGGCTTCTTCGTAATCTATTTACACAAGAATGTTAAAACTTATTAATACTGTCCTTCTTTACAGCCTCTGATGACAAGATTCCAGGCTGCCCTGAAGAATTACCTCACCAAGCAGATAGAACAAGTGAACCTAGACCTCCATGAGCTGGTACACTGCCCCTCCTTTGCCTTCCCACAGCCCCTCCTGTCCCAGCTGCTGGGACACATCTCCTTCCCTCTCGTGTCTGCAGAGGACAGCAAAGAAGAGCAGTGAAGCACAGAGAGAAGAGCTCGGGGTGACCCTCTATGGGGCCCAGCAGCAGCTGGGGCAGCTGGAGGTGGAGCTGGAGAAGAGCCAGGAGCGCTGCTCGCAGGCGGCCGCAGCGCGGCGGCAGCTGGAGGAGGAGCTGCAGAGCCTCAGGGCTGCTCACAGGGAAACGTGTCACTGCACAGAGCAGGAACGCAGGAAAGGTGACCCAGGCAGCCCCGACAATGCTTCCCAGTTGTAGGGATGTGTGGAGAAATGAATTGGGATTTAAGTCAAGCACTGGGTTGAAAAATACAGCAAAATAATTAATCAGGAATAATGCGCTCATTGAGAAGTTTCACAGATACTCCTGGAATTCTGTGAGCTGGGAATCCAGGAATTACTTGCCTGGATGTTTAGCTTGGCTTGTGGAGCTGTGTTCCAAGCTGATGTAAATATGTGTGCTGGGGAGGGCTGGTTTAGCTGATTTGTGAGAGCTGATTTAGCTGGTTTAGCTGATGTGTCTGTATTTGTTTCTCTTTTATCTCTGCTTAAGGAGTGCCCCACAAACAAACTTCTCTGTAACTATTTTGCCTCTTGTCCCCCCAGTTTCTGCAATGCAGACCCAGATTGAAAACCTGGCCTTGGAGCTCTTCTATGTGCAGAACATGGACCAGGAGATGCATCACAGGGTTTTACTGATGAAACAGTCAGCAAAGAGGGCTGAGGCAGAGAGGATCCAGGCTGAGGTGGAAAAGAAAAAACAGGTACCAAGAAAAACTGCCTTTGAAATAAATAAATGCAGGTGCCAGCAGTCATTCTTGGAGGACGTGCCCCCTTGTCAAGAGGAAGATTGATTCATGGAAGATGAGTGGGGACATTATTCTCAAATAATTGAAAAAAATGAAATCCAGAAGCTTTTCTGAAAAGAAGCAGCCCTGCCTATCCCCAGACAGCAACATGCACTGCACAGAGGGTTTGCAAGCCTTAGAACAGTAAATCACTCTTCACTCAAGGACAGGAGGTGTGGGGGGAGGAGGATATTTAATGAAGAAATATCATGTGTACAGGTCTTGAGAATAATTCTGAATTGCAGCGAATTTCGCAATGGAAAGAGAACTTTGGGAATGAGCAGGGCCGGTCGGTGCTGGAGCTCCCTCTGCTGCCTTCCAGCTCACAGTCCAGGGGTGCTGCTCGTTCAGAATGCCCTGCAAACTGCTGAAATACAGTGGTTTGGGAGGGTTTTAACAAAAGAGTTTCAAACACACATTATTACCATTCCCAGTAGCTGGACAGTGGCCTCGGTGCTGACAGGAGGGAATGTGGCTTCAGAGCTGACCTATCCACTTACTGCTGCAACTGGAATAATAAACAGTCAGCAAAGGTTTCATTCTCCTGCAACTCATCCCTGCTGCAGTCATGAGCCATTTGTGCATCAATGGGAAAGTTTCAGTAGGACTCAAATCCCATGCAGTTGCCAGTTTTAATTCCTTTTTTAGCTGCTGTTATTCTTGCAGGATACAGTTGGTTTAGACTGGGATTCCATGACTCACCCTGGACTGTTTGGCTCTGGCTCTGTAGGATCTTCTCCTGGACCAGTTTACAAGGAGAGTCTACCAGCTCCAGGAACAAATTGCTCTGTTTGAAGCTCAGCTGGTGGCCCAGGCAGAGGACACAAAAGTGACCCGGCAGGCAGTCAGTGAGGTAGGAGGGGATTGTC